AGATTGTCCAACCATTGTACCTTTTTTCTTAAATTCAAGAAATAGATCGAGGAAGTCGTTTCTACCAATTGGTTCGTAATTCCTCTTTTGTAGGACGTTATCGACGAACGTCTGGGTGTCCTTTTCTATTTTTCCAAAGATTCTCAAATGCTTGCACATTTCTGGAAACATTTCCTTGAGTGTCTGAATCATGACTTGAGTTTTAGTAAACTTAAAAACGTCGACGCCCAATTTTCTGAAAAAGGAATCTTCTACGCTGAGAGAATCCATGTCGAGACCGAAACCGTAAGATCCGATAATGTCGGTGGTGAAACGCGCAAATACTTCGCGGGCGTCCAGCACACGGCCAGTCGGCGGCGCATTGATGGCGTGTTCCTTCATGTGCTCGGCACGTTCTACTATATAGGGAAACAGCGCTTTTAGTTTTCCGCTTGTGAATGCAGGTGTTATGCGCGTCCTCAGCAGTTTCCAAAGATCGCCGTCAGCAAGAAAGAGATTCTTGTACAAAGGCTCGATCACCTTTCTGTGAGTAGTGACGCCTCTCATGTGGAAATTTTTAAAATCTTGGGAGAGAACTTGCTTAATAATTTCTGGATCTCTTACCACGAGTTCTGGGCGCATCGCTCGGTAGAAACCTATCACCTTCTCTTTCGGATATTTCCAGTACTGTTCGACGCCTAATTCGGTTATACTTTTCTTCATAAGATATAGACGGGTGTTGTTGCCGACAAATGGCACGGGCTTGTCATGTTTGATGCCTTTCTTTTCCCAATACTTGTAGGTTCGAGTACCGTACAAGTAGAGCGCGAAGAAAAGTGAGAAGAACACGGCTAGGGCGATCATTGTGGTACTGAGTGTCTGAAAGCTGTCTCCGCCGCGCGCTATATATACTTATATATGCCGGCAAAAGTTTCGCGTCATATCTGGGAGTCATCATTACTATGCTAGTTATTAAACTGCAAGTCACAAACCAAAAATAAACCGAGGTTAAAATGTAAAAAGCATTATCTTCATACTATCTCTGTCACTTTCTTTTTAAACGACTATAAACAGAAGGAGATTCCAATTCGTCTGTACGTAAAAATTTTAATTTTAATTTAGGTACCATGTGGTAGTGTAATGCACATATAATTATTTTAACTATAACCCGGGGTATGGTCGTAGTAGTGGCATTTCCACGTGATAAACAAAATATAAGAGTATAAATACAGTCAGTCAATGCATGTGTTTTATTTAGATAAAAATAAACAATATCTTTACCGAGGTAAGTATCTAGATTGTACTTTTTAACCTGTTAACTTAATTTTCATAGAGCATATCCAAATTGTGATATAATATTTATTGTTAGCTTATAGATACGCAGATAGTAGGTTCGTAGTTAATATAGAAAATACTGTTTTGTGACAAAACTGCTTGCTATCTTACTTCCTACTAATATTATAAATGCGAAAGTGAGATGGATGGATGGATGGATGTTTGTTAGAGTTTGTAGCCTAAACGGCGGAAGGAATCTCGATGAAATTTGGCATAGATGTAGGGGATAGTCTGGAAGAACACATACTTGCTTTTGTTTTTTTATTCCGCGCAGACGGGGTCAGGTGCGAAAGCTAGTATTAAATATTTACCAGGGAATAAGTCTTGTAAATGAAATTTTCTTTTTTTTGTAGATAGAACATTTTTAAATATTACAGTCTCTTTTTTAAATCTTAAAAAAAATTTTCACATCAAATGGTGGTTGCAAAATATATACGATGACAAATTATTGTTTCGATATTCCTGTTTTCGAGTCTTAAAATTTTATTTTGTAATAACCTATGGTCCCAATTTTTATGTTTCTTGCCTGTCGGTAAGTCTGCGTTTGTTTCAGGTAATCTATGAAACGACTGGATCAATTATGACGAGACTTACGCTCGGAGATAGCTAATATGCAGGACTATTATAAGTTACTTTTTATTCAATTCTACGCCGCCGAAGTCGCGGGCTACCACTAGTAAAAATACAAAATAGTCAAAACAAATGGTGTAAAATAATGACAGTAATGGTTACAATTCATATTTATGATCAGTTTACTGCGCACTTCCTTAGGATGTGACTTTAAATTTTAACTCATCATCATTATGTGCCACAAAATGTATTAATGGCGCATAATGTTTCCCCAATACTTCGTAACGTAAGTACAGTTAGGGAACCTGACGGTGATAAGTCATTTGAACGATTTGTTCGCACTAAAACGGCGACACGAAACAATAACAAAAAAAAAAGGATGTGTCTGTATGAAAAAATTTCGGCCAGTGGCTACACGGTAAATTGATTTATATTATTGTACCATCTTTGCGCAATTTACTGCTACATAAATGGTTATTTGTATGAAGAGACAGAGTTTGTTTCGTTGCAAGGAACAAGGCAATTTTTCTGTAAATGTAACACCGAGTATTTCTGCGACTGTACATATATTATACGCCGCAAAAGTTTAAATCTCGTGGGGCGTGTGCCGCGAGGACTGCGCGGATAAGAGGTAAAGCCCTGGCGCCTTGCGGCTGACGCGTGCGTGCTTCGACCAGTAGTTGCCTACAATCAACTGAGGGAAGCGGTTGCCGACATATTAGTTCCGCGATCGTAGGTAATTCATATATTTTTTACATTACTATTTACGTTTTCTTATTGTTCACGTTTTAGGGTTTGTTCAATGAGCACATAAAATATATAGGTTTTAAGGGAAAGACGAGTGCTCCGCAGTACTTTCGATTTCTTAGTCAAAAATATGACAATTTACCCAATCTTCGACTGTCCATTATTAATTAGTTGAAGAATTCGATGCTTTCAAAGTTTATTAATTACTAGCTGTCGCCCGCAACTCCGTCCGCGTGAGAATAAAAAAAAGTGAATAGCCTATGTGTTTTTCCAGACTGTCCTCTACATCTATACAAAATTTCACCGAAATCCGTTCAGCCGTTTAGGCTACACAGGCTAGTCCCATCAAAATTGGTTCACTCGTTCCGAAGATAGCGATTGACCCAGATTTTGACAGCGCGGAATTAAAAAATTGGTTGGTTAAAATATTCCCGCGTGTTTCAGCTCAACTACCATTCCGTTATGTTCTTGCCAAAATCGCCCGGGCTGGATGTTTCGTAGAGTACCCGGAACAAACCCTGCTTGCGGACAGACAAAGAGATAGAAAACAAAAATAAATATTTTATGTGATAAATATATCATCTTTGTGAAATCTGGATTTTTTTTTCGATGTTACATACAACTATACACTCAAATATACAGGGTGATTCTAAACGGACGGATCAACGGCTTTATGGAACGAGAGGACCTCACAATGCAAAGTAATATGTTTACAGTGGTCGTTTTTTAACGAGCAAATTTATTGAGTTTTCGTACCTTTATCCCGTTAGATTAGGAATAACACACACGAGAAAATCAAAAAAAACTATTGACATTTTTCTTTTGGCATTTTTTTTTCAAACTATGAGTAGCTGTAATTATTTTTTTCACACTAACCTTCCAACAAGTTTTTTTTTTCAAAAACTGCGGCCATGTCTGTAGAAAACAGTTTCGCTTTTCGTTTGTTTTTAATGCAAAAACGTTCTTTTTGCAGTTTTTGAAGTAATCGAGGGCAATAATCTCTTGTAATTTTCATACAAGACATATAGAATGTAATTGTAGAAAAAAATTGCGCTTAAAAGTATTTAAATTGAACTAATAGTTCAGAAGATATCTCGAAAACAAATATTAAGGTTAACTAAAAATCAGCTCATTTTGCATTGTGATATTTCTGTTATTATGTAGATTACTACTTAGTTTATACGTACAAAGAAAAAGTATGTAGGTTTTTTAGGCTTTCTTCTAGGAATAAAAAGTCGTGGGCAACAGCTAGTTTTAATATAGATATATACATAGAAAATTATAAATAGGTATGTACATTCCTATTTTACGCCTTTATTTATTTTTCTAACACTATATGATATGTTGTTGTTCTTCACGCCCGCTAGGGGCGCTGTACTACTCTGATCCATCTGCCGATAACTTTACAAAAACGATTTCAAAAATATTATAATTATAAACAATGTCATAAATATAAGTCATATCCTTCTGTTTTTGCAAAATCAATGAAATATTCTTAAAAAAGTCCTATACCTATTAAAAAGTAGTTTATTAGGTTCGAACCCTGGTATCTCTCAATATTCAAATAAATATTTAACTAGCTGCTGCACGCGACTTCGCCCGCGTGAAATTAAAAAATATAGCCTATGTTACTCACAGATAAATTACCTTTGTAACGGTGAAAGAATTTTTAAAATCGGCCCCGTAGTTTTTGAGTTACATACAAAAATATAAATCTTTCCTCTTTATAATAATAGTATAGATTATTTTATTTCTTATGTTAATTTATCTGACGTTCTTACGACGAAAGAAGATACCACGTTGCACGTCACCGCCAAAACGGCGTACGGACTTTGATCTTTGTAAAATAATCGATAATTCAATTTAAGCCATCTGTCCTTGCCTCCAATACATATCAATCAAGTAGATGATATTAATGAAATTTTATAGGTGCCTAAACTAATTGAAAAAAAAAACAACTATATTTTTTAAATACTGCTGACTGAAAACCCTTTAAAATAGGAAATTTTAGAGTGAACGCTGTTAAAATGATTATTCCTTCAAACTTGTGTGAGACCAGAGAACGTATTCTGATGCAAAACAATGGTCAGATTAAAGGGAAACAGTACAAAAAGGATAACTTTGTTATTAGAAACATTGGGAAATAAGAAAAAAAAAAAGAAGCAAATAATTAAGTTCAAATGTATTTAATTTTATTTAACACATTTTCATGAACTTAATTTTTAACCCATTGAACCCTTGCTACCAAAGTTTGATAATATAAAGCAATTTAATTTAAATTTAATAAAAATGTACCAAAAGCAACCTTTTTATAAACTCGTACATTTTTGAGGCAAAAAATAGCATACAATAGAAATATAAAAAAGCAAAACAACAAAATAAGCCGTTACAATGTTTATTTGACCCTCAGTTTGAACATCAAAGGCACACCATTTTGGACACTTTGCACTATGTTGGAAGTCGGGTCTACGAGGGGCTGGCGAATCGTCTCGGCCGCGGGTTCCACGGAGTACTTCGACAGCACGGCGGCCAGGCCTGCCACAGCCTGCATACGACCCAATCTCTCACCTGAAATTATACAAGTAAAGTTTAATTTTGATTGCATGTGATTACAGATTACAGGTATAATGAAGTCCCGAGACACTTTTTTGATCCAGAAAAGTGTTTAAGTCTAAGTTCCAGTATTGTATTTATTGTGATTTAAGTTCACGTTTCTACGATAGAAGGAACGTCTCTAACTTCTGTAAACTACTATTTGTGTTTATAAAAGAATGGTCTCTTTCCCATTTTAATTTAATATTCATCACCATATACGTCAGCATACATCCCCACTAATTAAGGCATAATACACATAATGCATTTCTCCGCCGATATGTGCAAGTTGCATAACTATGTATTCCTTCACCGTAAGAAAATCAAGTAAATTATGTACATAATATGAAATTCGAAAATCGAAAATTACATTGACTTATGTCGGGATTCAGACTCAAGACCTGTTGATTACAAGTGAAGTGCCTAAATCCCTGAGACAACGATATATTTTATGTATAAAACAAAAAATAAACTTACCAATACAAGCCCGAGGACCTTCTCCAAATGGCAAATAGATATTTTTTGTCAACGGATTTTCAAATTCGGTTAAAAATCGTTCCGGGCGGAACTTCTGAGGCTCGTCAAAGTATTGCGGGTCCATGTGAAGCGCTTGCACGGGGATCAATATCGACACTCCTTCGTCTATCGTTAGATTCAACTCTGGAAATGTATATTTCTGAGTGCATTGTCTCACCAGGTGACCCAACGATGGGAAAATTCGAAGACCTTCCTTAAACGCACAATGTAAATATGTCATTTCATTCACTGCATCGTAGCATAGCTTGTTGTCGTATTTCGCTAAAACTCTATCAATATCTTCTTGCACTTTCCGCTGTTCTTCAGGATTGTAGGCGAGATGGTGCATCGTGATGCTGGCGGAGGAAGAAGACGTTTCGAAACCAGCGGCAAAGAACAACAATATCTGAGCAGTCAGGATGTCGTAGGTAAGTTCCATAGATACTTCTTCTGGGGCGCCGTCTAACTTAAACTTTTCAATAGATTGTCCAACCATTGCACCTTTTTTCTTAAACTCAAGAAATAGATCGAGGAAGTCGTTTCTACCAATTGGTTCATAATTTCTCTTTTGTAGGACGTTATCGACGAACGTCTTGGTGTCCTTTTCTATTTTGCCAAAGATTCTCAAATGCTTGCACATTTCTGGAAACATTTCCTTGAGTGATTGAATCATAACTTGAGTTTTAGTAAACTTAAAAACGTCGGCGCCCAATTTTCTGAAAAAGGAATCTTCGACGCTGAGAGAATCCATGTCGAGACCGAAACCGTAAGATCCGATAATGTCGGTGGTGAAGCGCGCAAATACTTCGCGGGCATCCAGCACACGGCCTGTCGGCGGCGCATTGATGGCGTGTTCCTTCATGTGCTCGGCACGTTCCACGATAAAGGGAAAGATCGCCTTCAATTTTCCGCTTGTGAATGCGGGGGTCATACGCTGCCTCAGCAGTTTCCAAAGGTCGCCGTCCGCAAGAAAGAGATTCTTGAACAAAGGCTCGACCACCTTTCTGTGAGTAGTGACGCCTCTCATGTGGAAAGATTTAAAGTCTGGGGATAGAATGCGCTTAATAATTTCTGGATCTCTTACCACGAGTTCTGGGCGCATCGCTCGGTAGAAACCTACCACCTTCTCTTTCGGATGCTTCCAGTATTGTTCGACGCCTAATTCGGTTATACTTTTCTTCATAAGGTACAGTCGGGCATTGTTGCCGACGAACGGCACGGGCTTGTCATGTTTGATGCCTCTCTTTTCCCAATACTTGAAGGTTCGTGTACCGTACAAGTACAGCGCGACGAACAGCACGAAGAACACGGCTAGGGTGATCATGGTGATACGGAGCGTCTGTGGGCTGCCTCCGCTAGGCGCTATATATGCTGGCAAAATTCTCGCGTTTCATTTGCAAGTCATCATTGCTAGTTAAAAAATTGCAAGTCACTATTACGAACTAAAATAAATTGTTAAAAAAACATTAATGTTGCTATCTAAATATGTTTATGTATTTTAACTGCAAGATTTTGGTTATAGTAAGTTTTCTTTATACTATCTCTATGCTACTATTTTTTTAACTGATTTAAAAAGTAGGCGGTTCTCAAGTCGTCTGTATTGGCGTATTACCTACTTCCTAACTTCGCGACTGGTTATCCGATTTTGATAATTCTTTTTATTTTTAAAGGTAGTCCAGGTTACGGGGTCAAAAATTATGTATGAAAGAAATGTATAGTTATTTAAATATGCTAAAATAAAAGTCCTGGATAATATAAGTCTGTCTTCTCTGGTTTTCTGACAATTACCACTTTATATTGAAACATCAATTAAAATACGTACTCCACTTATTAGACGTTCCTCTTCGATAGGAATATATATAGGATAGAGTACTAAAGTGTGAATTATATAAAAAAAATATTAAAAACCAGGTGCAACCCGTAACTTTCTTGTTTTATTTGCTTATGCTTGCTAAAAAAACAACTACAATATCTACGTAAAAATGATGTACAAAAGAATTATAAATTTAAAAGTATGCTTCCAGGTACTCCCGATGACCGCCGACTTTCGAAAGAAAATAGTTTATAAATAAGGAAAAGAAATATGCTTAATAAAAGATAGCTTATATCTACAGTTGTTTTATTTTTATTGATAAGGTAAAGAGCATTTGGTCCCCTGAATTCGCCGAAATAGCGAAAAGACCACAAATGCAATTGCCTAATGGTTTACTACGGTTGTATTTAATTGGTTTAAAAAGTATTTAAGAACGCACGTTATTTGCGACGTATTTTTTTTAAATTAAAATTACTAATATTATAAATGCGATAGTTTAGATGGAAGGAGGGGTAGATTATTATCATAAAGTACTTCCTAAACGGCTCAGTGGTTGTCCATTAAATTTGACACAGATAAAGAACAGTCTAGAAGGACACATAGGGTACATACTGTTTTGTTTAAAATTCCGCGTGGACGAGGTCGCGGGCATTAGGTAGTGTTACATAATTCCGAAAAATAAAGTTTAGACGATATCACGATGACAGTAAACAATACGCGCAACTGGCAAAATCGACTAGAGTTCCGCGTGTCCGGGCCGGGCGCACACGTATTACAAGGTCGTTAGTAGCTAGCAATCTCCCGCGTCTTCGTCGGCGCACAATAAAAATAAGTTGTACATACATATACATCTTTAGTCTTATAGTAAAAATGCAGTGGAATCCATTTATTACGACATCGTAAGAAATAACAAACATGTTCTAAATGGACGTCATACAAAGATTTTTTTTAGAATACTGACAATGCAAATAGATCGTATTTTTTTTTATATTACAAAGATACACTACAATTTTATGAATTGAATAGATATAAGTAGATACAAAGATAAGCAGACGGTATGTACAACAGATAAGAAATCAAACATTTGTCTTGCTAATTTCCGGTTATACTATATGTTTTATCTATTTACAAATAAAATAATAATCTCAAACAAAATAATTCACTATGTTAATATTGGAAATGTCAACGGTACAAAAATAAACATTTAAGACAAGGTCAATTTAGGTCAAAACAAAATACATCGCCGTTTAAATCTGTTTAAAGAGGCGACCAGTTTCTGACCATTAATATTTATTGCCGGAAGCATCATGAGGGAATTATGTAACAGTATCTGTTAATATTGTCGTAGTCACATCACAACATACCAAGATACTCGTGTAATAGACGAGCTGTGCCCTTGTGGCTTTATCGTGAAAATTATTTTTTTGTTTACTTTTGTCAAATTCTCAATTGCAAATGTCAAGATTGCAATTACCATAATAACCTTGCTTTCTTAATATCCCTTTCCCACATGAAGTTCTTTTTTTTCTAATTTATTTACCCCCAAAGTGTAATGGAGTGAAAATATATATAGCCTAAAGTATGTCGTAAGTGTAGGGATATTAAAAAAGGAATTATTCAAAAATATTCGGTGATTGATGACATCCTACGCCACAAAGTAAAGTGTGTTTACGCTTTATTATATTAGTATATAGATATGTAACTTGATAACATATCACGTGGGTAATATTTTCACAGGTAAATAGTTTTAAACATAATTTGTTGGTGAAGAATACGGTGACCATGCATGACTATCCAATTCTAGTTTAAGGACAAATATGTAACTTAAATACTAATGCACTTATTTCTTTCACTCTCTAAAATAGTTTTGTTATATAATTTCAGATTTAAGATATAAGAAATAAAATAGTTTTGTAGCATAAATTTCACAAGACTTATTTAGCAATGACTGATTTAGAATCATGTATTTTGTATTGATTTTAGTAAATATATTAATGATAACACTAATACTTTAAAATCTATCTGAAACAATAATCAGCTGACGTCAGACAACAAATACTAGGTTTTTTATAATACTTGTTCTTAAATCACATTTCAACATTGTCACCATCGCCAGAGAGGGATAGAACGGACAGTTATTGAGGTCTCGCTCGGCATCAATTTTCGACAAGAGCTCAATCCTGTTCTAGTACATCTATGGGAATGATTTAATTGTAGATTGTAGACCAGTTTGACATTTTTATGTCAACGTTTTTGTACGTTTTACTGCATTTATTATTTTACAATAGCATCAGTAGGTACAATCGGGGTATCTACCAATTTGTCACTCAAGAGAGAGTCGTGTAAATATTTTGTACACATTAGTACGACAACGAGAAAATGTAGCTAGCTTTTTAATGATTTAAAAAGTATTTTGCGTTAATTTGCTGTCTCAGATTTTTGAAAGAGAATGATAAGGACAGTAATGTTCTTATGACGTTAGCAGATAATGTTGATAATAAGAGTAGGAAACTTTGTATTAAATAGGAATAAAATTGTTGATTATCGAACGATAACGAAATATGAAAAAAGTGTGTTTTAATTAAATATGTTATAATAACGTTAAAATTACACTTTACATTTATTTGTGAGCATATACACTAATATTAATATATAAAAGTGTATATCAGTATTTTGCACAATTAATATGATTTATATGAATTAAGCGACGTCAATCAATTCCAAACAGTAGTAAAAAAATAATTGATTTTTAAGTCATTAAATTTGTTAGAAGTTTAAAAACATTACAACTTGTGCGCACCTTTAGATTTCGTACAGTCTACACAACAGGTATACACGTAAACAAAACTATAGAAAAACAGTAAATTTAGAGATTATTGTAAGAACATATGCGATTTATTATACTTTTGAGATGGATTTTGTTTCATAAAATATAATCTATAAATTATAGGTATATCAAAGACGGAGGTTATTCAATGTTATCGGTGCAGCAACTCATGCTGACTGTACTTTTATCAAGCATTCGACGAATACGATAATTGGCAGCGACATTTTTATGATCGAGTATGCATATTAATGTTTCGAAATAATAACTGGGGAAACCTCTAATAATATCCTATGAATATTTAAATAATTTAATGCTATGATTTATAATTGCTTAATTAAGACACTTATTATATTAATTACAAACCTTTACTAGGTCGCTGTTAAATAAATAATTTAAATAGACAAATTCTTTCTTTTTAGTCTATTTCTTTAGATACAATTCTAGTCTATAGTAATGACACTTTAAAGATGTAGGTAAATGATCAATTAACTAAAATAATTTCACCTCGAAGAGCGTCGGTGGCTCAGTGGTTTAAGCTCTTGACTTATAATCCATAGGTCTTGGGTTCGAATCCCGCTGTACCAATGTGATTTTCGAATTTTCATATGTACATAATTTACCCGAAGTTCTTGCGGTGAAGGAAAACATCGTGATGCAACCTGCGCTTATCGGCGAAGAAATTCAAAGATATGTGTGAAGTCAACCAACCCGCACTTCGCCAGCGTGGTTGACTATGGCCTAGTTACCCCTTACTTAGGGTAGGCTCCGAGCCCCTCGGTGGGGACGTATAGTGAGCTGGTGATGTGAAGCTCTATTGGAACCCAATGAGACCATGGTTAGAAAAAAAGACTTGTAAATCTATCTAATGATATCTCTACATAAGTAACTTTGATGTAATATGTTCGAGCAAAATTGCATTAAGTATAATATTAATACTTAGTTTATTTTTAACTGTTTTCAACATAACTGTTTCTACGAACAGAGACAGACAATTTCTGAGCTTTTAAAGATTTATTACTCTAATCCCGTACGAATATGCGCATTTATTTTTATTATTAAAAACTACGGTCGACTATTAATTCGTTAGCCAATTATACTATGACCGGCTTATGTGTGTTTTTCAACATCCTGTTTAAGACTGGTAGTCGAAATGTAAACGGCAAAGCTGTTCAGACATTATGCTAAATAACTCGACGCCTTCGCACGGCGATGTCTCAAATAGCACATTGCCAGATTAACCCATTGTGATAAATATTCGCTCATGTGTTCTAAACATAACAAAGCATTTTTTTCTTATAATTTTGCAGCAGACATGAAAACTGTTTTCTAACTGGCCACTTAATTAACAGATATGAAAAGCAGGATTTTGTGCATTAATTACTTTGATCGTTTACTGAAAAGAAAAAAAAACTGCATACATTTTAAAGTAGGGCGGAATCATTCTTATTCTTAAGTTTGTAATTACGAGTACATTTTGCTTGTTTCTATATCCACATACTAAAGTGATCAGTATACTCTGACGTACTTTGGAACTCCTGGGTCAATTTGTTTGGAGTTTTTTTTTATATTAGCAGATTTTTGTTAATTTACTAATATTTCTTTTACCATTCCAACTAAGCTCTAGGCTTGTGCTAGGATATGGTAAAGAATAGTCGAATGGCGGGATGGTCGAGTTATTGGGTTATTATTTAGAAGGCTTGTTTATTTACGATTGCTTGTAACTTCAGCCCCGTGAAAAATATCGCGTCTGTAACTCACTGATAAATTACCTTTCTAACAGTGAAAGATTTTTTTAAAATCGGCCCCGTAGTTTTTGAGTTATTTCAAACATACAAAAATACAAATCTTTCTTCTTTATAATATTAGTATAGATTATAGATTTTGAAGCTAAACTAACTAATGCTTATTGTGTTATAGATCCGGAAGCTTTACCAATGTTAACGGTAGTAAAATTTACCAATTATAAATATGTAGATCTTGCCCTATAAGGGGGTGTCCAGGCAGATGTGAAAGGGAATGTTCGTATTTATTCTGCAGGATGCATACGGTCGGACAACAGCCGTCCGTTATATTGTAAAACATCTGCCGTTTCACGCTTGCCTTTTTCCAATTTTCCATCGACACTTCGCGTCGCTTCTCATAAAAGTTTATGTTTGTTGAAAAGATCAGTATTCGCCGACGGACAAACGTACACTGCCATTGGTCATGCCGTCTTGACATAAGTAACCGCATTATGGTGACGTTAAATGATAATGGACTCTATCTCTTTGGGAATGTGATTGAAAATCGAATATGTTTGTCTGGTTTTGATCATACGTTAGGTGGTCGGAAGACATGGCAGTGCGTCATGCGTGTTAAATAGCGTTGAACAATTCTTTAGAAGTGCTTATTAAAATATTTGTTGTTGCGACGTTATTTATTTGTATACGGCGGTGCTTTGTGCCGGTGTTCAACCGCCTGTGCTGTGTTCTGTGGGTGTCGCGGTGCTATTGTACCGCGCTGTGACCAATTCTTCATACTGAAATATGTATAATAACGGTGCGAAATTAGTTTTTTTTTCTCTTAACGTAACATATTACACCTCTCGACCTAGAACAAGATATTACTAGGATATGTGTGTATTGTTTTCCCTTGCATTTGTCGGTTACTTATAGAACAACTAAAGCTCTCGATGTCCGCACCCAATGTCCATACAAATGAATCAATTAAATAGAATCGATTAAGAAGGCCCCGAGCCCGCCGACTTCTGATCCGAATTCTCGCATAGAACGAATCAAGGCAATTATTACGTACCCAAAATGGAAAATTAAATTGGGCATCGGCTCGACGCGCTCAAAGACCCGGACCTGTTAAAACATTATGAGCCGTACCATTTTTATCTTCACTGATCAAAACCAGCGCTTCCTAAACTTTATGAGAAGTAACACTCAAAAGAATACTTTATACATTCCCATCCAAATTTCTTGTAAATTTGTGTACTTAGATACATCTGTCGCATTACTATGAAAATGTTTTTAAATCTAAGCATGTTTTTTTAAACTTGATATAACCTAGACCTAGCTCGCCTACGAAATGCAAATTGTTTAATTTATTCATAAGATCCTTATTAAATTTTCAATAGACTCTCAAGTATCCTAATTTCCAGTTTAGGAATCGTTGGTCAGAACCCGGAGCCAGTCGATTCCCGCAGACGAGCCGGCGCAGAGGGAGCGGGATGCATCGCGAGGGAAAGGGAGAGCACGACCGACCGTCAGAGGTCGAATTTAAACGTGGAATGTTTATGGTTCTACCGTTTTATTTTACTCGTCGACCGGCAAACCATTAAATATTGTTTCAATTGAATGCGGCCAGATCTGAAGCTGTCTAATAGAGTAGATTAAAAATGTTGACGGCTGATTGATTTGGATTCGCAATCTCGTAGCTTTTTAGATATGTATCGGCGATTCAACTACTTGTGTTACGGCCGACATCTAGGGTCAATTTAGGTAGGGATCAAATGGTGATACTATAACAGCAGTAATTAGAACAGTTGTAAGCATTACATGTTTTGTAAGTGAGAGGGTAGATAACAAAAGAAAAAGTAAAGGATCGCCATGATCTTTTGATTTTACAAAACGATCTCACAATTCTTTGCATCCTTGCTTACTATAGGCAGTATTTTGAAGAATTTTACAACGTTTGCTGGTGCTGTTTGTTGCTTAACGCGACAGTATTTCTATTATTCATGGGTTTACTTCTACTAAAATAGTAAGAACATTATTGAAATAAGATGTTCATAGCTCTGATCCACATAGGAATACTAAACGAAATACTATAGATTATAGAAAAGCGTGAGTGATATCGACTTACAAAGGTCTTGCGGCCACCGTCGTGCTGTCTGGCTGCAAGCATTGTGGCCGATTGGGCACGGCGCCGCGCACTGAGCTCGCTGTTGTGACACCATCGCATCACACGCGCCGACACACCGGCTGTTTGCATTGTGCGCCCGTGACGCATCGCCTCTTTGGACCTCGCCGCATTTTATGAACCTCAGCTTTGTTGCATTGAATAAGCCCGATGTAAAGCAGGTCCGCTTTAACAATTACAGAAGACCTAGGCACGACCTCGGCCCATTGTCGCCTCCTTTGTGCGACCGACTAGCAGACGTGATGTCGCAAACCTCCCAGACTTTACGACGCTGCAAAATCTTGCATATTAATTGTCGATATTTTAATATAGATAAGGTCTTTAAATACATTTTGTTATGATCCACACCTTTTAAATAACTAAACGATTGATTTGCATTTAAATAAAAAACAGAAAAGAATTTAATGTTCCCGCTAATTGATTTTGTTCAAATCTTTAGAGTTAATCGCCTTAAGTTGTAATAAATTTTAAATCTCGGCAAAGCCAAATATTGTTGTGAAAGTTTGTTGAAATAACAATTTAAAATTGCTACTGTGTATACGTTAGTAATAATGGTGGACCAATATAACCTCCTTAACATTTTAATCATATTAATATTATAAATGTGAAAGTTTAGATGGATGGATGGATGGATGGATGGATGGATGGATGGATGTTTGTTAGGGTTTGTAGTCTAAACGGCTGAACGGATCGCGATGAAATTTGGTATAGATATAGAGGATAGTCTGGAAGAGCACATAGGCTACTTACTTTGTTTTTTTTTAATTCCACGCGGACGGAGTCGCGGGCGAAAGACAGTTATTGATAATTTCAATTAAAGACACTAAATAGAAGAGTAGGCATTTCTAAACGCTGCACTGCCGCGTAGCACTACCAAAATTCGTCGAATCGAACGACAAACAAGGTGATAAAAAATTTGCGAATTCATAGTCGTTGCAGAACATTTTTTCTATCAATTTAAACTGTCGGTTCCAATTTTTTAAAGTCTTTCGTAAACATTTTGTTAAATAGATAAAAATGTTGAATAAAGTTCCAATAGTTTGTCGTTTGTTGTAATAAATTTAGAAACGTGATGCTGTAAAAAATAAAAAAAAATACGGCAATGACAATAAACCGACTGCGCCGTATCATACTTAATATTAAAAATGCGAACGTTTAGATGGATATTTGTTAGATTTTGCAGCCTAAACGTCTGAAAGGATTTCGATGAAATGTGGTAAAGATGTAAAGATGAGTCTGGAAGAACACATAGGCTACTCACTTTTGTTTTTTTTTAATTCCACGCCGACGGAGTCTTGGGCGAAACCTACTCTGGAATAAGTACTGTAGCAATTTTTAGGGGTAGTTGCCATTTGTTTTTTTGACAAACTTATTCCACAATAGAAGATAGAATAAAGCCCACTAAAGACTCTTAGTTTTATCTGAACAGTCCGATCAAATAAATATAACAAAATTGGGAACTGTTCAATCCTCAGTTGCCACCTACGCACATTAGGTTATCTGTTCACATAAAACTGAGGGTGTGTAGCACGCTTAAGCGATAGGCATATTTACTGTCACCTTTTATGAAGTACCTTTAGTGTCCTAAACTTTGTTTGATATCCCTTTTTATATAATTTGGTTGTATTTGAGACAAAGAGCAATGTAAATATAAAAAGTATTTTGCATGAAAACTGCAGTATTCTTGTGTAAATGGATTGAAGAATACTCAGAGCGTGTGCACAACTTTGACTAATCAATCACACAACTGTTGTCCGATTGTCGATTGTTCAGATAATTCAAATGTATAGATGTACTAATAATCGAGTGCGCACCTCCATATATGCGCATAGGAATATCAGCGTGACTAAACAGCGATTTTTCAGTCAAAGGTGTGCGCCCGCTCTAGATGATTGACATAGGTAACAAATTAAAACACGATATAAACAGTTAACATATATACTGTATATTTTATATCTTAAAGCTACAATAAGTTATGCTTATTTATAATTATGACTTATTTATATATTTACAAATGTATTTATCTAACACAAATATCACAGTTCTTAATAAATACACAAATATAAAAAAACTATACAATTTTGAATAAAGGTGAGTTACTTGTTGAGATATCGTCGATCGGGTGTCAGTCTTTGAACGAATTTTGTGTATATCCTGAAAAATTCAAAAGTGTGGTGACGTCATATGCTATACTATTTTCTGTACAAAATAAAAAATAAAAAATCTACTCAAAAAATTCAATGTTTTCTCCCAATGGTTTCATCATTTGTTTTACGAATTTACGACAGTTAGCTTAGTTTCCTTATAAAAAATCCTAGCAATCTTTTAAACTTGTCAATTGGACCGATATAGATTTATAGATAGTTTCTTAATAAAATTGTATTGTAATGTGCCTTTTATTTTAGTCATAAATACTCTATTATTAGTTTCATTCCAGCCAGCAGCTTACGCTAGCGTCGAAATAGTCAAAATCAAATAGGCACGGAATACCATGGCTTATAATATATCTCTACATAGAAATCAAATCTTATTCGTAATTAGAGATACCATAATATTAAAAAAATTCTAACCAAAAGAAATAATTTACAATTTCACTTTTACAAAAGTTCTTATAACAGACTTACGTAAACGGAAATTGGTAATATGATAACAAATTTATTTTTAACGTATTTTATAATTCGTAATAACTTTATTTTTAAATTTCGTTATTTTATATCCACTAAAAATTAAATCCATTGTATTCGAAGTGTCTTTAGGCTTTCCGGCCTACATTTATAACAATGATTTGTAAAGACTTTCAAAATTAAGAAAAAACTGTGAAATAATCTGTAACGGTCTGTAAGAAAATTGAACAAACCGACGTTCAACAGCTATCTGGTGATTAGATGCAATATTTAAAAAAAATATCTCAACTAAATCGAGTTTGATCATGTAACTCAGGATTACCCGATAATTACATCTGTTAAGAACCACGTCGACACAAGAGTCTGAATAACTACTAATAAGGGTTGACATACACGGACTGGTTCAACTGGCGCACGGACATTTTTTTAATAACAACTGCATGTTGAAGAGTGTACCGGTAGAGGCCATAGGTACCAAGCGCTTGAAGCCTCCCAAGTGTGGTGGCCTTTAGAATTTTCTAGAGTAAATGATTTTAATATTGAAAACCTATCAGTTTTCAACATAAATAATTAACTATTGATTTTTATTTATAACAGAATTCAAAAAAATCTTACCTTATTTTATTTATTTGACTCTAACACAATCGACGATTTTGTAACTCTTCTGTTCCTAATTTTTGTTCACTAATTTTCTAACACTTAGGCGTAATAATAATTGCCTCTAGAGTTCCTTATAACTAGAGCTAATCCTGAGATCTTTTAAAAACGATGCTACCTGTTGACAATGAAAAAATAATCATTAGAACACAGATAATTAAAAAATGATATTAAGGTTATATGTTTTTGAAATACTGGCCAAAGATAATTAAAATGTTTGAAAATGGAATACGTTACTGGCGATAAAGGAATATTACATTTTTTTTAATTAGGTTAGGAGTTCATATAACCTATAATGATTAGTTTTTATAAGACAAGGGACAAACGACCAGCAGACACACCGAAGTTACGATTAACGCCCACAAACAACAGCAATACCAGAGTAACTATAGATGCGGCTGGCTCATCATCATCAGCCCTTATCTGCCCACTGTTAGTCATAGGTTTTCCCTAATAACTTCCACAGATTGCGGACCTTTGCCTTCTGCGTTGCTGGAAGATACGCATGTACTACAGATGCACTGTTTCAAAACAACTTAATGATACATGTTGAAACGTTTTATTAAAGAGTATAAGAGAAAATTGACTAGCGACGGAGTTATGCCGTAACATACATAAAAAAACATACAGACGAATTGAGTACCTCCTTCCTCTGGGAAGTCGGTCAAAATAGGAACATGTTTTTGTAATGTTTAAGCAGTGAAAACCCGAGTTAACAATCAAATTCTTATTGGTACGAACACAAAGGTCTATTTCAATTCAACTTGTATATGTCAAGATAGATTTGAATGTCAGTAATACAATGAGCGATACAAAAGCTGTCGGTTAATATTTTTTTATTCATATGAATCATTGTTTTGTGTATTCGTATCATATTTTGTGTTATTTTGATTTATAGTTCATTCTATATTACAAAACAAAATCAATCGATCAGTATATCTGCAACATAAAAATACTAAATTGATTTTGCTAATAGACGGATGTTTTCGTAAGGTTGTCTATATGTAATGGGATTTTATAAATTGGATAAGATGTAAAGATTTATAGGATATTTAATTCGTGCAAATTATTTTTTTAAAAACTAGGCTTACAATGTATGCGGCACAGCACTGTACATATGGTAACTAGTTAAGTACACTAATCATACTAATATTATAAATGCGAAAGTTTAGATGGATGGATGGATGTTTGTTAGTGATTGCAACTTTAACGACTAAACATATTTCGATCAAATTTGGTATAAGTGTAGATGATCGCCTGGTATAACACTTAGGATACTCACTTTTGTTTTTTTATTTTAATTCCACGCGCACGGAGTCGCGGGCGAAAGCTAGGATGAAATAATGTTAGCAACATCGCGATTCAAGAAACCCCTATTGTCTAATGTTGGGGATGTTTTAAAACATGCATTTAAGAGACATCGTAAGCTACGATAGGAATTGACCAATAACTGCTACGTTATAGCTACGATATCCTGCATTCGGTTTGTACAACTCATTTCATTCGTTTAAAACAATTATTGCAATGAAAAATCGATTTTAAAGTCGATACCCTATGTGGTCCAATTTATTTTATGCACAGTGTAACTTGGGAATTTTGTATTTACCCAAATTGGAGTATCAAAATAAATTATCTAAAACGTTCTGTACGATAAGGATTGTCTTTAAAAATCACTTATAGTATTTATACTTGAACATTTCATTTGACACTATTGCTATTTTTATTTAAATTGACGCGAGAAACAGTAGACGTATTTATCGTATTTACACTAACTATCTATCTATACTATTATAATAAAGCGTAAACACACACTTCTTTGTTGCCTAAGATGTCAGAAATTATATCATAGTTTTGACTAATTCTTTTTATAATAAAAAGCCCTACACTTACGTCACGCTTCAGGTTATACTTATATTTCCACGCCATTAAACTTAGGGGGTAAATATTTTGGATAAAAACCCTAATGGGGGAAAGAGACCATAAGTTGCTACCAACGTCAAGGAAGCCAGATTGCCAAGGTTTGTAATGTCATTTCATTTTGACATTTGGTATTGATAATTTGATATTTTGAAATGTAAACAATAAAATATTTCTTTTATAATTCCATGCGGATGAAGCCGCACTGGAACAGCTAGTTGAGAACAAATGAAAAAAACATGTAAAATCTTTCGGCCATTGCTTGCCATATTACCAGATTCTATACAACCTTTTCAAAGAATTATGAATTGTGTGAACGACGATATCTTAAAATTTATTTTTAGTTTTAGGTGAGAAATAAAAACAATATTTCTGCTTGTTATTTGTTCTTAATAAAGGTTTGTTAATTAAAATTGTACAACAAGTTTAATTAAGTTTTCGCGTGTAGTCACACTTTGTTGATTTTATTTTTGATGCTAAAAATTTTGTACGTACTTGTTGAGAACTGTGATTCTATCTTAAACTGAGATAATATTCACATGACCTCTACTTGTTTAGCTTTAGTTATTTTTGGTTTAAGTAATTTATAACTTGTTAACAACTTTTTACACGTCTTCGTATTTGCAGACATAGAATCAGTATTATGAGTACTTGTAAATGTCTGTAGATATCATTTGTATTCTAACGCCATTGGTAACATGCCAGTTTATAATCTTACTAGTCATAACAGCTAACGATATGTTGAAAATTGTACTACTTATTGAAAACTTTATTTATAATAATGATAGTATAGTTAAAATTGTGTTTTCCTGCAGCATTATTGTTTTAAACCACAACAAATCATCACAATTTTCATTCCATTGTTTAGTTTGTTGTAATGAGATTTTATCAACGTTGTTTTGTTATGGAATAACAATTAAGTTGTCTCAATCCACTGTTCAACATTTTATTATTTTGGTTTGCTGTTGGATAAGCTTTTGTGTTGTGAAAACGTTTTCGAATTCAAATTAATCATAGTTTATTTTGTTTTGCATGTTTTGTATTAAATAATTAATTGTTTCATTCATTGCTTTTTATTTAAGTTAGTTAAAAGTTGTATGTTATTCAACAAGCGTGTGGCCAGTTTACGCTAAGTATCAGGAATCAGCGACGACGCCTAAGTGCAGCCACAACATTTAGGAGAATTCTATTTTCATTGATGTCATAAAAAATGAGTATGTTACATGTTTTGGATCTCTTTTCTTGAACATCCAACAAACATAAGATAACTTACCATTCATGAATTAAGCGTGTAATGTGAGAACTGGCTGGTGTCGCGCCACGTCCAGAGCGGTGGCAGGCAAGATTGCTGTAGGCCCGCCAGCAGCTCGGCATGGTAGCGCTGCGCAGCCAGCAGATAAGGTGCTGGCGGCAGCGCTAGCGGGCAACGCGGCGGCGGCGGTGGCGCGGGCGGCGACGGCGAGCTGCGGCTCGGCTCAGGCTCCAGCAGCGCGTCTATTGTAAAGGCTCGACGTGGCCGCGGGCACGCCGGCAGCAGCGCCGACGTGTCCGGTACCTCATTCGGCTCGGGACTAGGCCTCGGACAAATTGTAACGGCAGGACCGTACATGCCATTCGATAAGTTTGCCGACGGCAGCGGGGCGTTTGCCTGACGCGCTAGAAAAGCCCTGTTGAAGGTCGCCAAAGCTGCCAATTCGGCGTTAAGGCTGTCCTTCTCGCCCTTGTGTAGCTTGAAACGTTTGCGGCGGCGAAGCAGAGAGCCGTTCTCAAACATGTCGAAGGCCTGCGGGTGCAGCGTCCAGTAGGCGCCCTTGCCGGGCCGGTCGGGCCGCCGCGGCACCTTCACGAAGCAGTCGTTGAAGGAGAGGTTGTGTCGTAGTGAGTTCTGCCAGCGCTGCGTGTTGCGCCGGTAGTACGGGAAACGGTCGGTGATGAAGCGGTAGATCTCCGACAGCGGCAGCATGCGTTCCGGAGAGCTCCAGATGGCCATGGCGGTGAGGGCGATGTAGGAGAAGGGCGGTTTCTGGTCGCCGTAAGAGTCGCGCGTGGGCCGCGGCATGTCGTCGCGGCGTCTGGTGTCGTCGCAGTATCCGCGTGCTTGCGGGGCGGACGTCTCTCGCGGCGTGTCGGCGGGCGCGCACTGGGGGCGCGGGCCGACGCGGGCCGGGTGGGGCCGCGGGCCCGCCCTGTGCGCTCTCACCAATCGCGAGACGCCGGCTCTGTTTGTCGTTTTGTCGGCGTCGGGCTCTGCTCACAGAAGAATTTAAATTGTTATCACGTTTACATTATACGAAATTTATTCGACACCGAGACTCGAGCTCGTTTCGAAATTGCAATGATTAAAGAAGTGGATAGTTATTGATGTCGGCGTGAGCCCCGCCGCGCCGCCGCCGCCGCCGCCGACACTCGGACATCATCGGCATTAATAGTACCTACCCCAGTTCACGCATTGCGTGAACACTACACACTAATAACCTTTTCAATCATATCTATTTAGATATGACTGAAAAGTTGACATTTGTCAACTTTTTTGTCTTTTATCTAAATGAAAATTTAAATCATCAAAAATCAAAGATTTCAAATAGTAAAAATGCGATATAAAGTCTACAACTAAGAACTGAGAAACATGATTTAAAATAGTAGATTAAAAAGCCAAGCCCTGTGTCGTTATCGATGTACTCAATGTTAAAGGTATAAAAAATTTCGAAGATACTTATAAAACACCTAAGTACCATTCTGATTAACCCATGTTGTTTATCAATCTGCGTCTATGTTTGGCTTGTGCACTCTCGACGGCAATCGCCCATGTCTAATGCGTGGGGAGCTAACTATCGCTATTCAGATCCAACGGCCCGTGCGGCGACAGCGCGCCCCCGCTATTGAAGGAAACTCAATGATGGGGAAACTCATGTTTACGACATAACAAATCATGCAGTTCCTCGTTAAAATTTAATACTGTATCAAACATTTTTAGTATTCTTGTTTATAGCGTTAATACATATTAAGGAGTTTTTTCACCTCTTATAGTTCTAGATAGATAAATAAGTTGAAGTACTATAACGATGTGGCGCTGGCCGTTGTTCCCACAGCCTCATCAGCAGTCAATCCACGTGGCGATTGTCGGCGTCTGCGCAAATAGCCTCATTAAATTCAATCGTCAACACAGGAGCGTCGCTAACGCACTCATATAATTTTGCGATATTAACGTAACACACATTACAGCGCCGTCGTGTTACCCTTTGTATGCCAAATACGTCGCCTCTATTACCACTGACACGGACAAGACGCTTCCTTTATGAGGAATATTACTTTTTAGTAACATCCTCATCAATGATAGCGTCAATTTTTAATACTAAACCTCAAGAGTTATAAAACTACAACGACAGGAAGGATTTACTTTAAAGGCGGCCATAAATATTATCCTGATGCATTTCTTAAGACGATTTTCAAAGTTAAAGTTTATTATGATCCGGGAACAGTAACAATTGTTAGGGACGAAAAAGATCCACAGGACATCATCTCAATGCTCTTTACATGGAGGTTCGTCACAGTATGTACTTTCGTATGTCTCTATCGAGCGTTGTAGAATTTATTGATTCTTTCTTTGTACTTTAATTAACAATATCCATTACCTATTTACTTCATATTCATTAATTTCTTGTTCGTGTGCATTTTAATATGAAGATACACAGTACATAGTTTATAAGTGAATTCAATATGACCATGCTTACTCTATCTTACATTGCGTAGAGAAAAATAACAAATGTGCTTCTGATGAGACGAAAGTGTAGTTAATTTTTAATTACAATACGACTAAACTTTGATGAATTTAAAATTGCGACTTTTAATTTTTTTTTGTCATTCTCAAACTTACATTATTGATATTGTAAGGATATATACAATCAAAATTAACCGCTTTTAAACCTTTTTGTCACAACCGCAAAAAATACAAATGTATGTAACGAAGGGGTTGGAACGAATTCGCCAAATACATTAATAATTGTGAAATTAAAAATAAATTTTAAACGCATGACTCGCAACCCTTTTTAAGGGTATTTTGGGTGAAGACAAATGGAACTGTAAGGGTAGTTTTAAACATTTATTTCTTTGTATGAGATAGGCGGATAAATGCACATTTTTTATTATAATTACGGAAGCGTTATAGTGTGAAATGTTATTTAATTTTAATTTTGGATATTGTACAAATATTAAAGACTTCTCCTTTTGGGCCTGTGTTAAATTAAAAGTGTTAGTAACTGACAGTTCTTTTGACAATTAGATTTTAGGCAATACAAGTAAAATAATGCGGTGAAGCTACATTAATTAAATGATCTTAGAAATCAAAGTAGGGTTGGCGACAGACAGGCGGCCAGTCGCAAAAAATAGTGCCAAATCCTAAAGTAGGTTTTTGATACCCGGACAAACCTGCTGCGCTGACCCTACGGGAGTAGGATAAGAAAGATGATGATGATGAAGATGATCTATCAACCAACCAACATTATTATAATCTATCAACCATGTATAACTTTAAGATCCAATAAAAAAAAAACAATTTTGAGACCTTTGATACCGAATACTTTTTCCCAATTCGGTATCAATGGAGAATTTTCATTCCCATCAATTTCCGGTACTATACGAATCATTGTAGCTTCAAAAATTGGTTTTAACAATACGAGTACGAACAGGCGATATCCGTAGGTATCCATAACGTATGTTTAGAGATAAAAAGTGTTCAATTACACGTATCTCATTCACAACAGCCCAATTACAAGATAGAATAAATAACAATTATAAAATCATAAACAAACGTTATACCAGATGCAATAAATTTGTAAACGTTGTTATAACGACGATCTCGTATGGGAGCAATCATGACACCTCGCACTCTAATGACCCGCTTTGTGTCGCCCAACACACCGACAGACAAATCTTATGTGTGAATTCTACAAATTGCTCACAAATATTTGCGTCTACCTGTTTTTTTATTGGCAATCTTTACACACGCCGCTGGTAGATCAAGGGCGCTGTAAAAGCTTTTCTATTAAGTGTGGTAAATCAAGAAACGTTTCCGCGATCTTACACGGCTCGAAATCGATTTGTTGAAAATCAATATGTACCGTAGATTATACACCCTATCAAATACAACCTAGAGAGTTAAGTTTTAGTGGTGTAAGCACAAAGGTAACATTTTAGAAAAATGTGGAATTTTTAGAATTTAGCCGTTATGCATCTTCAAACGAGCTAAAGATTGTTGTTACTAATTAATAGATTAACACAGACGGAATTATTAAATTATGTATAGATTTTGTTCAGTAGCACTTACGTTTTTATAAAAGAGGCATGGCCGTTGCCAAGGGTGCGGAAAAAGTAGCTGCCTCCCCAAAAGAATCCAAAATTCATGATAGATATAAAATACATAGGTTAAGTTTATTACATTTTTTATTTCGGCCGATTGAAGACGGGAGCAACAACTAATGTGTTATAATTTTATTCGTGTAGACGTGCAACGAGCCATGCATGTTCGGTTCATATTGGGATTCAAGAATTTCCCTAAAACATGTCTGAGTAGAGTTAGAGTAAATAATTTAAGCGCTGTTCGAATGTTGCTATAAATTTAGCATGTCACGACTAGAACACGACATTCCACAGACAAATAGTTACCTCAGGCTGACAATGCTCGATAATTAACTCGGAGCGCCCGCCTATTTAACAAGCAATTAAGTGCAAGAAAATCTTGTAATCATGAAGCATTTTGTAAAACGATAGGAATATTTTTAAACATTAAGTAAGTAGAAATTGCTACAACATTAAATAAGATAACATCCTTGAAGCTTAAAATTATCTGGTTAAGAAAAGTAACGAAGATTTTTCACAACTATACGAACAAAAGTAGGGTTCTCTCTTTTTCTCTACCTATATCGTATCTTAATTAAATTAGTGAGTTAGATCTTGTATAATATTATAACTACTAATATTATAAAGAGGAAAGATTTGTATTTTTGTATATACTGAAATAACTCAAAAATTACTGGGTGGATTTAAAAAATTCTTTCGCCAGTAAAAAGCTACGTTATCAGTGAATTGGGCGTAGTCGCAAGCAAGTGCTGGTATTAAATATCAGATGTTTAGTTGAAACGATGAACTCCATCGTCGGCTAAAAATTAATAACGGTTAAAATATGAAAAACGTGTTGTTCCTTGAAGAGGTTATTACCATACATCGTTTAAACATGCCTGCCAAGTCTGCATACCGCCAGTCGTGAAGAATTCAACGGTTTAGCGGGTTATTTTCTAATGCTCGTATAATGTCCTTTTTATTGAGTGTAAATAATTGAGTTTGTATCAGCGGCGTGCCGACATCTGCTCGCTTGCGTTTTAACACTCCTCTTCGGATTTCCCACTTAACTTTAATGCTCTCGTAAAATTTTACGTTTTAAAAAATCACCAAATGAAAAAGAACCTTAAGGATTCTGCAAACGACTTAAAATGCTGTGGTCTGTAAAGAAATGTATATCACTCGTTTGGGACTTGAAGCGACTTTAGTCCAAGCATTGATCAAAGGGACAGGGCTTAAAAACTTAAAACTGTCCGCATAAGGATTACTTTGCCATGATCCTTACATTATCCGCGAGATGTTTCTTGTACGGTTATTACAATATTTGTTGTTGGATGTTATTTATTTGACTAGTTGTCAGTGTTAATATTGTCGGCGTCGTCTGAGAGGCCATTGCCGGCCATCAGACGTTCCGAACACGAGTATTACATTTACCAATACTTATGTAAATCTGATATTAATCAAACAAACCAAATACAACTACTGTAACAGGTAAAGGAAATCGATTTTGTAATAGATTTTTTCTGATTTGACACTCGATTGTTTGTTTTTAATATCGACTAACGCGATATGTGACATTCTATTTTCTATTGTGGACTCGACAAATGATTGCTTTCGATTTAATATCAATAACATTTATTAGTTAAATTATTTTTAATTAAATCTAACTACATTTTAGAAGTTGAACGTTCCAATACGATTTAATAATTAAATATAAGGTCATAACTATCAGTCGTATGTATTCACGATGGATCGCTAATCGTAAATCCCATACAATGGGATGCA